TTTTTTTTAATGTTTATTAAAAAATAATAATTTTTCTCTCAAAAATAAACATTAAAAAAAATTTTTTTTAACTTGACTACTATTTAATTTTTTTTAATTTTTACATTTATTTATTTTCGAGAGACAGAGCACAAGTGGGGAAGGGCACAAGTGGGGAAGGGGCAGAGAGAGAGGGAGACACAGAATCAGAAGCAGGCTCCAGGCTCCAAGCTGTCAGCACAGAGCCGATACGGGGCTCGAACCCACGAGAACTGTGAGATCATGACCTGAGCCGAAGTCGGACGCTTAACTGACTGAGCTACCCAGGCACCCTGACTGAATACTATTTAACATAGTGGTCCATTTGTGGAGAAAATTGATAAAAAAGATGTAAGGGCAATTTTCAGAGTAAGTAATAGTTTAATTATTAGAGAAATTAGCATAAATGGAAGCGCAAAGAAATGAAAGGACTTGCCTGCCTTTCACAGCTAGTTGGGGCCCAAGCTGGGACTTGAGCCAAGATGTTAGTTTCCCTCTTGAGCCTTGCTTTCTCTTTTGGAAAGGACAGCTTCTCTCTGAGAAGATGATGTGTTTTTGAGAGATTCTTCTAACTTTGTACCTGCTCATTCTTTCAAAATAACACAGTCTGCCTTTTCACTAGGAATGAAAAAGGATTTGTTTGCTAGTAGAGCCTTTTCTTAACACTCACCCTAACATAGAAGCATAGGAAATGAAAAAGGTTATTACTTCTTGTATATTATCTGCTTTTAGAAGACTGTGTCTGAAATATTAGGTGTAAATGTTTTACACTCTTAAGACTCCAAGATTTTTTCTGTCAGTTTTTTCCATTATTGTCAAGGACGTTTTCTTCTCACGCTGGGCATAAATCCTGTGTCTTGACTACTAGCTCACCTGTTAGATTAGCGGGTCTCTTTAAATGATTATAGAAACATGGTGGGCAAGCTTAAATTAGCACAATGTCTTACATTGTTTAGTACTACCCCTACATTTTCTGAAGATTCAGTAAGAACTTCAAAATGCCAAGTATACCCATGGATGGTAGTTTTTGTTTTGTCAAAACAAAACAAAAAGTTGGTAGTTGAGCTTAATTATATCAAAATTCACCCACGTTGGTGATTTACACTGTGTTTGGTGATACCCTGTGCAATTCAGTTAATTAGGAACATCTCCAATACTATAGCTGGGCTACTGTGACCACTTTAGTTTTACTTTTGCCAGAGGGTAAAGCAGCACCATCTGACAGCACAGCTAAATCTTCACGTTCAGCTCCCTTCCATCTTCCCTGTAGTCGTACACTGCAGTAAGAAGGATGGATGTTTTTTTGCACATGTTTTAAGTAACCTCTTAAAGATTGCAAAAAATTTCTAAATGCCTTTTTCAGAATGTTGTGGAAGGATAGTGGGACTAGAAGGTACGCATAGGAGTTTTAAACAAACACCCTAAACCGTCGCTCTCTCTCCTTTCTGAAACCTTGAATAATTTTGAAATATACCCTTATCACTTTTTCAGAAATTCACTACAACACATGTTACAAAACCATTAAAATGTGAGGAAATTAATAGATTTTCAGTAAATAAGTAGTAAATATTCTAATAGCTTCTAAGAGCACTCTTAGTGCTGATAGTTATTTAAATTAGTATATTTTTATAAGTAGCTGAGAACCTTGCATTTCTTGTAAAAATGTGTCCATTTTCTAAGCATTAAAAATCAGTGTATTTAAATAGTGTCTCCCATATAATAGAAACAGAAATACATCTACTTTGTAGCGATTCAGGTGCTCGTATTGCTTCCTTTAAATTTTTGACATACTGTCATTTCTTTACTTACAGAGATTTTTCTTTTAGTTTCAGAGATAATGGTGAGTCACATTTTGTTTATAAATTGGATGCTTAATGATTGCTATTAATTTCCAGAGATTAAACTCTTATTAATGTCATTGTCCCTTTCTCCCTTTCTTCATCACTGATTTTGTTCACAGTGAAGATAACACTTTTATTTAAGTCTGGAAAGAAACCTCAACATAAGTATTCCTTTTCTAAAAACAAATAAAAATGAAAGTTCCAGTATATAGTCTGATCAAATTAATTAGTGGATCATTTCAGAATTTTTTTAAAGATATGTTCATACAACATATTTTTTCTTTTAATAATAGCTCATTGGCTTTTTGAAAAGGCATGAGGAAAAGTGGTAAGAACCATAACCATTTGAAGAGCAGTCAGAACTCAAAGTATGTTTAAGATGACAGTGTAGTAAGTAAGCCAGGTTAGAAAAAGATTTATTTTTCCTTCTGTAGGAAAAAACCCACTCATTCTATATCCAGAGATATAATCACTGCTGTTTAATATAGATTTCCTCTTAGTATTTTATTTGGCCGTGTGTGACTGTTTTTACAAAAAAAATAGTATTGTATCCATGTTATTTATGGACTGCTCTTTTAAATTTAACCTTATATAATGGACCCAACAAATATTCCTTACAACACAACTATAAATAGCTATGGTACAATTAGAGCATAATTTACCTAAATCATTCTACTCTATTTGAAGGTAAAGATACTAAATCCACCTATTTTCTATTATAAATTATATCTTTGCAAGTATATCTTGGGTACAGCCTCTTGGTATATATATATATAGGATGAATTCCTAGAAGTGCAAATTAGTGGATCCAAAAATGTGAGATATACAAATATTTAAGTCTTCTGATGGATTGCCAGTTTGCTCTCGGGAAGGGCTATACCAGTGTACGTGTCCCACGGATAGTACCTGCTTCTTCAAGCTTCTCTGACAGTGGGTATTATTCTTATTTTACTATGTTAATTTGATAGGCCTCCTCCAAAATAATCACATTTTCAAAATTTGAATTTCTCTACTTAAAAGTTGAACTTTTAAGATATGCTTACTGGCTACTTTTAATCTTTGAAAATTTCCTGTTAATGTCCTTTGTATCTTTTAAAAAATTGATGTATTTCTTTTCTTATCGATACATAAGAATATATATATGGTTCAATTCAAAAAGTCCAAAAGCTTGATAGAAAATGGCTTTAATAGGTCTGCTAATAAAAGCTGCCATCAAATGAACACCCATATAGCCTGAAGCTGTGTTAATGATAATAAGCACATTACCCTCATATTTTATCTTATTTGATGTTCGTTGTAATTCTGAAGTAGATACCTTCACTTTGCAATTGAGGAACTTGAGATTCAGAAAGTTTGAGTGACTTACCCAAGATCACAGCTAGCGATGATAGTATGTGACCCTGAGTGGTTTTTCGTATGCCACACTTCTGGTACCTAGCTGCTGGTCATACCTAATTATACCAGAATTTATCTCTAACTATCCTTTTTTCCCAGTATTGTTCCAGTGTCCTTTGCATATATCTTTTGAATGGAGAGAAATAGCTTAATTACTAACAGAATTCACACCATTTTACAATGTTGCTCAAAAATAAAGCATTTTATACCCTAAGAGAAAAAAATACTGAGCCTCTATTTCTAAATATCATAATATTAGATTTGATACAGACTGAGATCTTTGATTGATTTTATTGTAATGTACTCATTCCAGAGTTCATTCCTTGAATTTTGCTTTTAGTTACTTTTTTTTCAATGTTATGAACCAGGTGCTTGCCTCAGATCCTTTCTTTTAAAGAAGCTGTATAGGGGCGCCTGGGTGGCGCAGTCGGTTAAGCGTCCGACTTCAGCCAGGTCACGATCTCGCGGTCCGTGAGTTCGAGCCCCGCGTCGGGCTCTGGGCTGACAGCTCAGAGCCTGGAGCCTGTTTCGGATTCTGTGTCTCCCTCTCTCTCTGCCCCTCCCCCGTTCATGCTCTGTCTCTCTCTGTCCCAAAAATAAATAAATGTTGAAAAAAAAATAAAAAAAAAAGAAGCTGTATAAACAAATAAATGAAAGAAACCAGTAAAAAGAATAATTAGTGTACTGAATTCTTCTTAACAGAACTTTACAGAGCAGTATGGCAAAGCTTCTCTCAGATCTTAGTATGGACAGTGCTCGCTGCAAGTCTGGAAATAATCTTACCAAATCACTTTTGAACATTTATGAAAAACAACCCAAGTGTGACCCAATCCCAGCTCACACTTCCATAATGAGCTACCTAAATAAGTTAGAAACAGATCACGCTTTCATACATTCACAGCCACTTTCTACAGTTAACAATGAGGAGAACATAGAACCAGGTAGACCTTACGAAAATGTTCTGCCCTCCAAAAGCCCTCAGCATGGTAACACAAGGAACAAGGAGGAAGTATCAGCCCCTGGGAACATTCCTACCCTTTCAAAACAGGATTCTGATGAGAGTGAAATCACAACTTTAATAGACGATGAGTGTAATTTGGATAATACAATTTACATTCCATTTGCTAGAAGCACTTCTAAAAAGAAATCACCATTATCTAAGAGATTATCCCCCCAGCCACAGATCACTGTGGCTTCACCGCAGCTGGTCAGCAACAGTGGACTTGTCTCTGAAAAAGAAAATAAATCGTGTGCACCCGGAGTTGGTTCCTCTTCCAAAAAGGAAGCAGAAGATACCCCTGAGAAACTTTCCAGAACACCTGATATGGAAGACAAGCAGCTCCTCAAGAAAATAAAGGAAGCCATCTGCAAGATACCTGCCGCCCCTCAGGAGCCACCAGAACTGGCGGCGTGTCATGGCCCCTCTACTTGTCAGAGCGGCAGCATTCAAGTGAAAAGTAGTGCTGTCTCCGATGGTAGCTTTTTTAATTCTGACTTGACGTCTGACTGGAGCATCTCCTCTTTTTCAACGTTCACTTCTCGAGATGAACAAGACTTCCGAAATGGCCTTGCAGCGCTGGATGCCAATATCGCTCGACTCCAGAAGTCCTTAAGGACCGGTCTTCTGGAGAAATGAACTCAGAAGAAAAGGGATTGAGTACCTCTTTTTAAGACTAGAACTTGGCTACAATTGAATGTATATTTTAAATTTCTCTAGCGAAATGGATATTATGTATTATAATTAATTGTATGAATAATAAATTTATTGTTAGAATATATTGACAGTCTGGAGCTTATACAAACAAGTCATCTTAAGAAATTGACATTTGTTAAGAGAAGACAATTACAGGTAATTGGGAAAGTATCACAAGTAATATTTTTAGTACTTAGCAGTTTGAGGTCTTTTCTTACCCAGCTGGGCTAAGGGTCCAGGTCAGGATTCTCTGGTTGTCCTAAAGAATAATGGGAAGGGAGTCTCTGGGTACAATTTATTGTATTCAAACTAGGCTTTCTTTTCTCTTTCAGGATTCCTGTTTGTTTTTTAATGGCATCGTGTTTTTCTGTGGGATGCTCTGTGCTACAGGCTAGTGTTATGTATAAACATTTCTTTTAAGAGAAAAATGCCAATATCTCCACCTCTTAAAAAACATTGATTGGGCCAAGAAAATATAGATAACATCCTCAGTTAGCGTATGGTTTCTTAAAACTTTGGCACTTTTATTTGTTTGATTCTGAGTAGGTGTTTAAGACCTTTTAAAAATAAAGTCAGACTGATAAATGCTAATAGATAAGTCGTAGCTTGGGAAATTTGTGTTTTTAAATAAATGAGAAATGTTTATTTGGGTTTTTTTGTCCTTATTATATTTGAACATAAAGGAGTTTTTAAATCTTTTACTGGTTATAATTCTGCGTTTCTGCACTAATAACTCTTTTTCAGCCCATTAGCTGAGAACATTCTCTATTTGTAAATAATATGTATTAAGTTAGTTTCTGCTTCTCTCTACTAGCAGTTCTTAACTATTCAGTATCACCACCATCTGTGTGAGCAGCACATTTGAGCAATTAGAAGGCTGAGGGTTGTCCTATCACTAATACTTCCTACAGGTCCACTGGCTGGTACCTTTCTGCAGAGTGCTTGGGCAGGCTTTAGCATTAAAGTGTTCTGCTGACTGCAGGATCTCTCCCTATTAGTTTTTAAGTGTTGGTGCTGCATCTTATGGTGGACCCAGATATAATCTCTTTGGCATGTCCAGATTTTATAGAGATTTAAGTCTAAAAATATTAAATGAATCTTCAGTTATTTTCACAGGATTGTCCATGACTATTTTTAACTTTTCTTCCAGTATTCATAAATTAATCAATTGATGTATTTGGAGGCAATAGGCCACAACTCTTTAACATATAAGTTCAGAAGTACAGTTCAGAAACATAAAATACAGGAAGGAGGAAAATTGTGTCATCTGCCCACGCCCAAATATTCAATTGTTATTCATATGCAGAAGTAAATTCCTAAGATTATTATATGATAATACAAGAAGAGCATCGAATTTTCCCCTTAAAACAGGATGGGCATTCTTATGTGCAAAGAAAATTATTAAATGCTTCCATAAGTTTCACTTAATTAGGGTTAGCAATGTGATTGAAAAAGAAGAGACTGGAAAATCCTCTAGAAACCTTACCAGGAGCTTACTCTTTATTTAATATAAGACACATATATGGCACAGAAACATGAAAAATTGGGTTAAATTTCAAGGTGGAATAAGATTCTAGCAAAAAGGATGAGATAGACAGTGAGCTTCATAGAAGTTGAGAATACAAGAAGCCAACAAATGGTCGAGGAAGGCCTAGAAGAAAAGAAACTTCACTTGGATGTTTAAGAACATACAGGATCTGAATAATCATGTGGGTATCCTCAAAATGTTTACCCATAAAGTACCATCAAAACATGGAGTTGAGTAGTATATTAAAAACATGATAGGTATACCAACCTGACTATAAAATAGAGGGACTAAGATTACTACAGTTAACTCTTGAACAACACAAGGGTTAGGGGCACCAACCCCCCTCTGCAGTCAAAAATCCATGTATAACTTAGACTCCTCAAAAACTCTACTACTTATAGCCTGCTGTTAGCCAGAAGCCTTACTGATAACATAAGCAATCGATTAACATATTTTTTGTATGTTATCATGTATTAATATACTGTATCTTTAGAATAAGCTAGAAAAAATGTTAAAATCACAAGAAAGAGAAAATACATTCACAGTGCTATATTTATCGGAAAAAAAAATCCACGTATAAGGTGACCTGCATAGTTCAATCCTGTGTTCAAGGGTCAAATGTATATGATAATGGTAACAGTAGGTGATGATAGCACAATTAGAATAGTTAGGGTCAGACTAGAATGTCTTGAGCTCCAGGCTGAGGAATGATCACTAACCATGAAGTCATTGGGTATTTGGGAATATTTGGTGGTGGTGGTTTTTATGTTGTTGTTAATTGAGGATCACCAGATAAAACTGGGTGTTCTCAAAATTGCATTGAGTGGTCATACACAAAGATTAGAGGAAGGGGAGGCTGGAAACCACCTAGAAAGCTGTGGCAGTAGTCCAGACAAATCAACAAACAGAAATAAAAGTGGCAATAAAAGTGAAAAAGGAGAGAGAAATTGAAAATTTTTCAGTTGGCTTGGTGATTTGATAGAAAATGAAAGAGAAATCAAAGATGACTCCCAAATTTTCCGGTTTGATCAGTTTGAGTCCACTGAGCAATGTCTCAAGTGAAAAATAAAATTCTTGGTCAAGTTCTAAATTAAGTCTTGATAACAATACTGATAATGGAGAGTGGGATAAAAGGGAGAGACAGCATGCCTGTTCTCAGTAGTCCTCTTTAGAAATCTTCACATGAGAAGTCAGTGTAAGTCTCAGAAGGGTCAGTCTGGCCCCAAATCCCAGTACCCCCTCACACAGCCTTTTCATATGTCCCAGAATGTGAAAAGCAGATTAGTGAGGTTTCTCCCAGCCTCTGAGAAGGTGAACTCAGTGTAGCATGGGAAAGAACCATCCTCCAACATTTTGTCACTGTTCTGTCCTGTCTTGGATCTGTGGAGATAATGTGCAAATGTCAACATGGATTTAGTATTTGTGAATACCACTGAAGGGCATCTGATTCTGTCTGACCAAGTGTAGAGATCCTAAGGGCCAAAGAAGCCAAAGAAGTACTTTGTACACATTCTTCCTTTATTCCTGCCGCTCTTGGAGTTTAGCAAGTCTTGCAAAAATCTTTTCTTTTCACTAATGGTGGCATTTATGTCAAGTGCCTTAAAAGTTATAAAGGCCTGCTTCAACCACATGGAGAGGAGGGCAGAATTGCAAAGTGTAATTAGAAAGGGCATCAGCCAAATCACAACTTAGTATTTACTGCTCACATCGTGGGGTGTGATCTCTTCAGCTAAGGATTCCTTCATTAAATGAATACATGAAATGAAAGCTCTAATATTTGCCAGCGACTATTCTGGGCTCTGAGAATACAATAAAGGAGACATATTCTCTGCCCTCAAGGAGGTTACATTACAGTGGGGCACAAGCAAAGGAACAGAAGTTATAAGTCCTGGAAGAAAAATGGGAAGGGGACAAAGATGATAGAATTGATTTAATTTTCCATTATTAGGGTAAGAAGCTCTTCTCAAAACTTCTGTTTAGGAATCTAGAATTTAAGCATACCACCAGATAAAGCTGGATTTGATTTGTGAGCTAACACTCCCTTAATCATTTTTTTAAAATTTTTTCTTATGTTTATTTCTGAGACAGAGACAGAGCATGGGTAGGGGAGGGGCACGGAATCACAGATTGAGGGAGACACGGAATCTGAAACAGGTTCCAGGCTCTGAGCTGTCAGCACAGAGCCCGACGCGGGGCTTGAACTCACAAACCGTGAGATCATGACCTGAGCCGAAGTCAGTCACTCAACTGACTGAGCCACCCAGGTGCCCCCTTAATCATTTTTTAGATCTGTTAATTTTTGGTTTCCTCCTGCTCACAATTGCTTGAATGTGCCTCATATTTTGACGTTTTAGTACAACATTTGTAGAGAATTTGGCACTCTTATTTAAAGCAGTTGGCCTGAGTAGGACCTCCCTGAGAATTATAATCAGAGAGAGCAAGATGTTAAGGACTTCTGAGAGGCTTAAAGATGGGTTTTTGAAAGAACTTTAAAAGTCCTCTATATCACACTTACACCCAAAGAAGGAATCTTTTCTACAGGGATACCTGCTACTGGTAAGATCCCAAGCACACCACATATATTCCTTTTGCCTGGACCACCCTTTTGTCCAGGCTCCTCCTGATAAATTCTTCCTCATTCTCCAAACCCCTGGTACTACGACTGTACCTTGTATATGCCTCCAATGATGCATGTATCAGTTTACATATCAACCTTTCCTACCCTGCATGCTTCTCAAGGGTAGGGACCAGGATTTATTCATTTTTGACACCCCTCATGGCACTTGGTGCCTGTCATATAGTAAGCAGTTCATAACAATTGTTGGACTTAACTAAATCCCTGACAAATGGTCATCTCGGCTTCACTTGATTTTCTCTTGATGTCGGCAAGTTCATGCAACAGTTGATAGCTTTATTACACACATCTAAGCCCCTGGCATTAACCTCCCTGTATTTTTTATTCTTTATTCCCTTTATTCACTTCTGAAGCAAAATTCATTTGTTTAGCAAACATCTGCACACTGCTTGTGCTGTGGAGAAGCCACAGATTTTTTTAATATTTAGAAGGGGAGATAGGGTGAAACATTTATTTAACTCTGTCACCATTGCAGGGATAATTTATCCTACCAGCCTACTTTACCACCTTGTGGGAGGGATAAATGTAGGCAAAGCACTTTGAAAACTGGAGGGCACTGTATAACCTGATTTACAACATTTAGAGAGCCCTCGCCATCCTGCTTGCCTTGTCTTGATGTCCTCTAGTTTGTCAATGTCTTAAAACTTAAATCCAGCAATGAGCAGATGAACTCCAGATGTGATGTTATCAAGCAGAATGCAATTAGATTATCACTTCCTAAAATCTTGTTAAAGTTGTTTTAGCCATTATATTCTACTGCAGATCATATTAGGGCTATAG